CTTGAGGTGATGTTGGCCCTGGGAGTGGTCGAAGAGTCAAGGAGCAAATGGCGGAGCCCAATAGTGCTAGTTCCCAAGCCGGACGGCACAGTCAGCGTCTGCATTGATTTCCATAAGGTGAACGCGGTCTCTTGCTTTGATGCCTATCCCATGCCTAGGGTGTATGAGCTGCTGGAGCAACTAGGCAAGGCAGAATTCATCTCCACCCTAGACCTGACCAAGGGATATTGGCAGATCCCTTTGACACCCACCTCCAGAGAAAAGACAGCTTTTCCAACACCATTCAGCCTCTACCAATTCACGATGATGCCTTTTGGGTTGCATGGGGCTGCCACAGTTCGTACGCCACGGCATACATCGATGACATCGTCGTTTACAGTGCCAACTGGGAGGAACATCTCCAGCACCTCACCAAGGTGCTACAAGCTCTGGGCAAGGCCAGCCTCACCGCAAACCCAGCCAAATGTCACTTGGGCCAATGAGAAGTGACCTACCTGGGCTATACAGTAGGCCAGGGGAAACTCCGCCCTTTGGTAGATAAGGTGGAAGTCTTGAAGAAGCCACGACAAAAAGCCAAGTACAGCAGTTCATAGAGCTGGCTGGATATTATCAATGATTTGTAGCTAACTTTGCTACGCTCCCCATCCCCCTGACAGACCTGACGGACATGTGGACTTCTTTTCCCAAGTCGGGGAAGAGGTAGGGAAGGGAACGGGCAATGGTCAGCCGGCCCTGGAGGTTGTTTTAAGGGGGAGGGTGTGTGATGGGGCAGAGCAGCCCCACACTGGTACTGCAGGGGTTAATCCTTTCTTCCTGGAAGAGGAAGCCACGCCCCTGAGGTTCTGCTGGACATGCTCCAACTGGACAACAGGTATTAAAGTTTGCAGAGCTGCTCAGTCTGGGCTGACCGCTGGAGGAGTAGGAGGCATACCGCCAGCTCCTGAGGAGGGACAGCATGTGCTCCAGGATCTGGAAGCCAGCCAAGCTGGAATGTGCACCAACACCCAGACCAAGTAGGTCACAGAAGGGGAACTGACCAGAGGACCCCCCGAAACAGAGGACCTGGAAGTTATGGTAGGAAGTGACCCAGGGGAACTTCAGAAGAAAACAGCCTTGGAGCCGCACAGAGGCTCGGTGTGTTTCGAGCGGATCCGCACCGAGCCGGTGGCAAGGGGAACTTGCCACTAACAGGGCTCTGGGTCGGGACCCAGAGGAGGGGGTGGGCCTGGTTCCCTCTACCCCTCCCAGCCACCTGCCCCCTTTGGACTCTGGCCGCTAGGCCGCACTACCCTGCCTGCGAGGGGGGTTATATGGACTCTAGCCATTGGGCCACACAGCCCTGATGTTTGGGGTGAGTTACAGGGACTCAGGCCGCTAGGCCGCACTATGCCGCCTGTGAGGGGGGGATTCTGTGGACTCTGGCCATTGAGCCACACAGCCCTGATGTTTGGGAAGAATTACATGGACTTTGGTCGTTAGGACTCACTACCCAGATGAAGGGGGTGATTGCATGGTGAGAGGCCATTAGGCTGCATCGGTCCACCTGCAGATAAGCGAGAGCGTAGACTTGGGAGTGGTGAGGCTCAGGCACCCCATCCCTCCCCATACCAAAGGGGCGGTGTCATAAATATAAAGGGAAGGGTAACCACCTTTCTGTATACAGTGCTATAAAATCGCTTCTGGCCAGAGACAACATCTTGTTACCTGTAAATGTTAAGAAACTCAGCTAACCTGGCTGGCACCTGACCCAAAGGACCAATAAGGGGGCAAGATACTTTCAAATCTTGGGGGAAGAAAGGCTTTTGTTTTGTGCTTTTTGTTTACCTGGTTGTTCTCTCTTGGGACTGAGAGAGGCCAGACAGAAATCCATCTTCTCCAACCCATCCTAATCCAAGTCTCCAATATTGCAACCAATATAGGTAAGCCAGGCAAGGCGGATTAGTTTATCTTTTGTTTTATGTGCATTTTCCCTGTGTTAAGAGGGAGGTTTATTCCTGTTTTCTGTAACTTTAAGGTTTTGCCCAGAGGTTTTGCCTCTGTATTTTGAATCTGAATACCCTGTAATGTATTTTCCATCCTGATTTTACAGAGGTGATTCTTTTACCTTTTCTTTAATTAAAATTCTTCTTTTAAGAACCTGATTGATTTTTCATTGTTCTTAAGATCCAAGGGTTTGGGTCTGTGTTTACCTATACAAACTGCTGAGGATTATTATCAAGCTTTCCCCAGGAAAGGGGGTGTAGGGCTTGGGGGGATATTTTGGGGGAAGACGTCTCCAAGTGGTCTCTTTCCCTGTTCTTTGTTTAAATGCTTGGTGGTGGCAGTATACTGTTCAAGGACAAGGCAAAGTTTGTACCTTGGGGAAGTTTTTAACCTAAGCTGGTAAGAATAAGCTTAGGGGGTCTTTCATGCAGGTCCTCACATCTGTACCCTAGAGTTCAGAGTGGGGAAGGAACCCTGACAGCAATAAGGTGCTAATCCTGCCACAGTCATCCTGAGATATTAGTGGAATGGAAAAAGCATTATCACATAAAATGACTACATTATCTGTTTTTTCCCAAACACAGAAAATAAATATTTATTGAACACATCTGCCTTTTCTGCATTATTATTGATAATTCTGCCTCATCTGGAATATTGTGTACAGTTCTGGTCTCCCACGTTTAAGAAAGATGCATTCAAACTGGAACAGGTACAGAGAAGGGCAACTAGGATGATCTGAGGAATGGAAAACTTGTCTTATGAAAGGAGACTCAGAGCTTGGCTTGTTTAGCCTAACCAAAAGTAGACTGAGAGGAAATATAATTGTTCTCTATAAATATATCAGAGGGATAAATACCATGGAGGGAGAAGAATTATTTAAGCTCAGTACCAATCTGGACACAAGAACAAATGGATATAAACTAGCCATCAGGAAGTTTAGACTTTAGCGATTTGAGGACTTTAATAGCTCAGACATAGGTTAGGGGTTTGTTACAGGAGTGGGTGGGTGAGATTCTGTGGCCTGCGTTGTGCAGGAGGTCAGATTAGATGATCATAATGATCGCTTCTGACCTTAAAGTCTATGATTCTATGATTTCCATCTAGTAATGAACCAAGACCATTGTCAGGATTCTTTTTGTTCCTACTATACTTTAAAAACCTCCTTTTTATTGTCCTTAAGTCATATTTAAATTATAACTGCCTTCAGTTCTCCGCTAAATCAGGTTAGTTTTTTTAACCAATATGGCCTTTTCCCTTTATTGTGGCTTTTTGGGTATCTAGTGAAGTGTTCCTAGACAATTCCAATTATTATTCACATTTTTCTGATTAAATTCTTCGTCCCAGCTGATTTGGCTCATAATTGTTTTCAGCTTGTGAAACTGGCCCTTTTAAAACACCACGCATAGATATCACTGGTTGGACTTTATTTCAAGGATGTTTTAGTACTTTCAGCATGCAACCTCCAGGGCGTGGCACTCCAACTGAAGTCCCCCATGAAGATGCAGCTTTTTCCCTACACATTATAGAAACTGCGTCAGAAGCTGCCCGTCCTATTCCCCAGTGTAATTTGGTGTCTGTCACCAAATAACACCCCATCTTGCGCTTTGTTTGGTAGGACATACATCCATACGCATTCAAGATCATTTTCTTCTGAGTTATCAGTGATTTGGAAACAGGTAATGCCATTTTTGACAGAGTGCCCTCCCCACTGCCCTTTTGCCCACTTCATCCTTCCTAAATTGGTTTTAACATTCCAGTCATAGGAATCATCCCACCAGATTTCAGTAATACAAACTACATCGTATGTATGCTCATATACGCTAAACTGGGAGGAGTGGTAGATACGCTGGAGGGGAGGAATAGGATACAGAAGGACCTAGACAAATTGGAGGATTTGGCCAAAAGAAATCTGATGAGGTTCAATAAGGATAAGTGCAGGGTCCTGCACTTAGGATGGAAGAATCCAATGCACCGCTACAGACTAGGGACCGAATGGCTAGGCAGCAGTTCTGCGGAAAAGGACCTAGGGGTGACAGTGGACGAGAAGCTGGATATGAGTCAGCAGTGTGCCCTTGTTGCCAAGAAGGCCAATGGCATTTTGGGATGTATAAGTAGGGGCATAGCGAGCAGATCGAGGGACGTGATCGTTCCCCTCTATTCGACATTGGTGAGGCCTCATCTGGAGTACTGTGTCCAGTTTTGGGCCCCACACTACAAGAAGGATGTGGATAAATTGGAGAGAGTCCAGCGAAGGGCAACAAAAATGATTAGGGGTCTAGAACACATGACTTATGAGGAGAGGCTGAGGGAGCTGGGATTGTTTAGCCTGCAGAAGAGAAGAAGGAGGGGGGATTTGATAGCTGCTTTCAACTACCTGAAAGGGGGTTCCAAAGAGGATGGCTCTAGACTGTTCTCAATGGTAGCAGATGACAGAACGAGGAGTAATGGTCTCAAGTTGCAGTGGGGGAGGTTTAGATTGGATATTAGGAAAAACTTTTTCACTAAGAGGGTGGTGAAACACTGGAATGCGTTACCTAGGGAGGTGGTAGAATCTCCTTCCTTAGAGGTTTTTAAGGTCAGGCTTGACAAAGCCCTGGCTGGGATGATTTAACTGGGAATTGGTCCTGCTTCGAGCAGGGGGTTGGACTAGATGACCTTCAGGGGTCCCTTCCAACCATGATATTCTATGATTCTATGATATACGACTATATGTTCCAGTTCTTCTTGTTTGTTACCCAGGCTCCTAGCACTAGTGTATAGGCAATTCAAGAATTTCTTTTATTCATGTTCTTTGCTTCCTTGATTAATTTTGTTCTCAACATTTCGATTTTGTGCTGAGTACTCATATCTTCCCTCATTGTAATTAGTTTAGTGCCCTCCTGATATTCTAGCCAGCATGACTGTCCCTGAGAAGACTGGTCCCTCTTCTACTGAGGTGGAGGCCATCCAAACTATACAGCCCCTTGTTGGCATAGAATGTTGGAATGTTCCACATAAAAAAACCCTACCCCACTTACCTAGCCAGCAGTTCACTTCCAGAATCTTCTGCCCTCTGTCTTCCTTTGCTCATGGGACGGGAAGGATCTCAGAGACAATTGCTTGGATATCTTTGTCTTCAGCACGCTTCCTGAAGTCATCTACTATCTGTAAGACATCGAATGATGCAGTGTCATTAGAGTCAATATGAACCATCACCAGTGGATCGTTTCCCATCGACTTCAGAAATCTGTCCAATCTTAGGGTGACGTCTCTTGTCTTGGCTGCAGAAAGGCAGCACAATACCTACACTCAGGTTGTGGCAATAATGTTACACACAGTCGCATCACATTAATTATTGTCCCACAGTTTAAAAAACATGAATTAGCCAAAGACTGGATAGTATGAGAGGCTTTGTCAAACTAGTGTAATTGAGATCAGAATTTGAGCCACTGTGCATGATAAAGTAAATAACAAATCTATCTAATCCCAGATAAAAACTACCTTAAACTGGACCTAAGGTTGAATTCATATCAGTAACTTAAGAATGAAAATATTAAAAGGCTGTTGTAATTATCCCAAGAACAAACTTTACAAACTCAGGAAATTCTGAATAAGGTTAAAGTTTAAAAAAATGCCAATGTGTTAAGGAATGGAAATACAGAGTTAGGGTTTCCAGGTGACCTTAACTCTGCTCTGTAGGGACACCACGCATTAAACAGACTTATGATTGATGCATAATAGTGTTTGCAGTCTCCTAACTGATTTTTAAAGACACATTTGGGGTTCAGACCAGGGCAGCACAGAGACAGCTCTCACAGCACTAAAAGATGACCTGCTCGGGGTCATGGACAGAGGCAAGATCTCCAGCCTCACACTGCTGGGCCTCTCTGCAGCCTTTGGCACAGTGGCCCACAAGGCGCTGTTGTCCCACCTACATGATGCAGCAGCAGTAGATGGCCCAGCGTGATAGTGGCACCAATCATTCCTTTCCAGCAGAACTCAGATCAGGGATGGGTCACTACGCCTCTTCTCCAAAGGAGAAGGGTCCCACCAGGACCCAGACTATCCCTGCTTCTCTTCAATACCTACAAGAGTCCACTGGGAGACATAGTGCACTCAGTGCCCACAGTGTGTACTCTATATCTCCTTCTGAACTGATGCAGCCACCGCCACTGCTGAAATGTCAGAATGCCTGAAGGAGATCAGTTCTTGGACAAGCAGCAGCTACTCCAGCTGAACCTAGGCAAGACTAAGTGGTGCTGGTCAGGAAGGGGAAATGCTTTGAAGAACCGGCCAAGACATTGTCTCCGCTTTCCATTGAAGGCTACAGCCCTTACTGGTCATAGCATATTTCAGTTTCCCAAAAAGAGGACACTGCCAGGGGTGGGGGGAGATAGAAGGGGAGGAGGGAGTGGTAGCTGGAGTGGGGGTACAGTTGGGGGTGCTGCAGGGTAGCCCCGCTCCATCCTGGGCTTCCTGTGGACCGGGAATGAGGGTGTGGTGGCGTGGGGGTACCAAGCAGGGAATGGGCAGCCTCAGATGTCCTTCCCTCCTCGGTGGTCCCCCTTCCACCCTTCTCTCTTCCCCCCCCCCCCCCCCCGTGGGGAACTCTGGACCACCTCAGGCCGCACAAGTCTTTGAACCACCGCCTTCCCTGGGCTGTGAGGCTTGAGAAGAGCACTAGGTACCTGGCTCCTGGGTGAGGGAAACGGTTCGCATCCCGCTGGGGCATCGTTCCCCCCCAAACACCCCCGCCGCTGCTTCCAGCCTACGGGGTAGGCAAGCAAGCGAAAGACGGCACACGGAGTGGTGCCCGGCACCCGCCAGCCAGCTTCGTGTGACCAAGGGGGGCAGTGTCCCAGAAGGTGCGCTGAGAAACTACTGCCATGGCCTCCCTGTCCTGGTGGCAGGGTGGCTGGTGCAAGCCGTCAGTCAGCACCTCCCTGTGGAACCCTCTTCCCAGGGCTGGGAGCCGGGGCCTGGATAGGAGGGATCCAGAAGCTGTGGCTGCAGGGGAAAGGGCCAATTGGAAAGTGGACCAAGCAGGGCTCTTTCTGAGCTGCACTGTCTGCTCTGCAAAAATCCAGAACATTTCCTGTGATTTGAAAAATCCACCTGGACAGAGAACAGAGCCTCAAAAATGCTGCTGTGCCGGACTTGGTAACCTAGGAAGCTCAGGGTGCTGTGTGACCCATTGCTGAGCATGGACCCCCAGCTGCCCTTTGCATAATGCTGCCTTTCACCTCCAGCTTGCTGGGAAACTCTTCCCGTCCCCTCTGGCTTTGGCCACCTGTCACCTCCAGGCTGGGTTACCCTAACTCACTGGCTCTGAGGCTGATTGATGTGCAGGCTCCAGCTGGTGCAGCATGTGGCTGCCTGCCTTCTCCATGGCTCAGGCCCCTGAGAGCATAGCAAGCCTATGCTCAGGTCTCTCACTGGCTCTGTCAGCTCCCTGTGCTGCTTTAAGGCTTTGGTCCAAGTCATCACAGCAGCTAATGGGTCAAGCTTTGATAACAACAGCTTTGCTCCTGTGGGGGACACACAATTCAAAGAGCCCTTTTATACCCAAACAGCACAAATCCCCACTCCCCAAAAAACCCTATCCCAAGCAGATTTCTGACTCCTACAGGGAGAGGAGCCAGAGAGTCACTCAGATTGACTCGGGGGGGGGGGGGAGGAGGAAGGGAGGCGGTCCCTGGCTATTGCTATTGATCTTCAGGGAAGGTGCCCAGATACTATGGTGATGGGTGACAGGATAAAACACTAAGATATTACCTCACCACCTTGACTCATAGAGAGATTGATCAATTTGATTTTTTCATTTGCGGGCAGCTTCGCCTCACTTCCTCTGAGAACAAAGGGAGGTTGTGACCATTTTGAAAAAGGATGTTTTGCTAATGGCAGCCTCGTGGCTTCATTCTCATTCAGAACAATAGGACAAGGCAGCAATGCTGAAAAACAGCAGCACTCTCTGTTAATCTGTGTTGCCAACTCTTGCATCCTTCTTTTTTAGTGTTTCTCTTGAAGCCCCAACTGCAAGACCCATGATATAGGAACAGAATATCAGCTTTCATTAAAAAAAAAAAAAAAAAATTCTGGCCCTCATGGTTACACACTAGAAAACAAGAAGTAGGTGCAGCCTAAAGACTCAGAAACCAGCAAGTGAATAAAAAGAACCCATTTTTTTATTGTTAGAAATCTCATTATTTTAAATCTCATGTTTCTGGGGACTCGACTCATGATTTTTGAATATATGGGGCTGGCCATGCTTCTGGTGAGAAGTTTATTTGTCTGCACCCTGCGGAAGAAGAAAACTTAGTTTTGAAGAATAGTGGCAAAACAAAAACTTAACCATAAAAAAAAAATCTTCAAATGTAGCCTATGCCTGAGATTTCAGAGTTTTAACTACAAGAAAAGTTTGAAGGGCTCATGTTTTTCCATTGCTAAAATCAATCAGGATAAAAAATTGGTCCAACACCTGAGGCTAAATGTCTTAAACGGCCCATTTTAAAACTAATTAACTGATTTTTTTTGTAAATTTTCTCAGGTTCAGTCTGTGCTCAGAGTAATTGCTGTGATTTTTGGGGAAGATGTGCTGAATTCTTTATACATAACCAAGTAGTTGAATCCCTGCTTTAAGTGCAAAATTTAATACCACTTAACTATGGAACCCTGAGTTGTGCAACTATCTATCTGTGAGGCCCTTAGCACCAGAGTGTCTAAGTGCAAAATTGAATTGCTTTGTCTTTTTTGGATTTCAACTCTCCACATCATTTGGAGATGCATTGAGGCTGCTGGTATAGTGCTGGAGGGGTTACTAGGGGTGACTTGGAGGAACCAATAGTATTGTTAGGAGGGCAGTTGGTCCATGGTGCCTCTAATGTTCTCAGAATGGACCTAACATCTTGGAAACATCCAGCCTTTCTCTACCTATGGAAATTGTTTTAATCACCCACCACCACACTCCATAGCATTACAACACCCAATTCCTCTTTGAAATCTCCTACTGCCCATGTCAGCCATTTGTATGAGATTCCACCCTCCCTCAGGCCCAGGAATCAGTCATTTCTGGTTGACTGGGGGTTTAGAGACTTTGATGGATACAAAATGATGTCATGCCAGCCAACCAGCACTAGGACAAAAGGGATCCAAGGGCTGGCAGGCACAGCATGCAGGAGGTGATAGGGCTATGATGTGGGTCTTCCTCAGAGTTCATTGGAAAATCGTGTCACAAACTACATTGCCCTGGTAAATTGCCTAGCTGTGAATCTGTGGCCTCAGCTATGGAGCATTCAGGGCCTCATTCTTCTCTTACTTACTGTGGTGTGAGTCAGGAGAAATGCCATGCTATAGTTACACTGCATTTAGGGGGAGAACGGACCTCATTGTGTTTTGCGTGCTACAGGTATTACTGGAAAGTTCAGAGAAGAGAAGAGGTTGGTAAAAAATCCTCCCAGGAAGGCATGGGGCCTGAGAGCCCCGAACTCTGGCCTTTCACCTCCCCATCAGGTGGCCATGGGAAACAACCTTGATTCACTAGCCATGTTGGGGTTGCAGTGGCCCATGGCAACATGAGCCAAGAAGTTACGTTTGTACAGCTGAATTCTGGGTGAGAGGGCACATTCAAAGCAAACTGCTGTCTGCTTCCAAGGAGTCTGCTGAGCTTAACCATCCTCCAGCTGAATGGATCTTCCCTTTATGGCAACTTACAAGACAGAAAAACAAGACGTTTGATTTAAAAAGCAACAGGGGCATGTAACTCCCCCAGGGACTGGGCAACGTAGCAGAGACTGTAACTGCTGCAGTTCAGCTGCAGGAAGGTTACCTGAAACTGGACACAACCAGTGAGGGATCAAAAGGGTGGCAGCATAACTAATGCCAACCCACATGGTGTTATGGAAAACAGGGGCGGTCAAACAAATTTGCTATTGGTTCTTGATGAGATTACAAGTTTGGTTGACTAAGTAACGGTGTTGGCAGAATATACTTCAACTCTATATAGCGTTTGACTTAGTCCCGCACAACATTCTGATGAAGAAATTAGCACTTTACAAAACCAGTGCAGCCCATGTTAAGTGGAACAAAAATAGCTAACTGATAGATCTGTAATTGTAAATGGGGAATTGTCATCCAAGGGGGGGTGTTTCTAGTGCAGACCCACAGGG